TACGAACTTTTGGCAGCAGCCTGTACAAAACTGAGGCAATTCGTGAACACCGTTTCTCAGGTTCTCAACTCTATAACTTTTTGCATCACTGGAAAATTAAATTATTATATAGACTCGGCTAGAAAAGATAAGTACAGCAATGAACAAAATGGCTGATTCACAGCGTTTTGCTCAAACAAAAGGTTAGGGATTTTTAATGTCTTGCGTGTCAAGAGGTCACGCATTGTCCATTGCTCAAAATTTTTGTTTTATCTAAGGGCGTGCTGCAGTGAGACGAATTCGGCGCTTTGTCACTGTAGACAATCAACAAATGAAAGAAGATTTAGGGAAAATGAAGGAAGGACTAGAGCTTATGGATGTGGCTAGGCATGAGGTACGAATGGTAGCACCCATACCTTGGTTTGGATTACGAACGTCTTTTGCAGGTAAAAAACTCAAAAACAAAGGACGATCTTGAAGAAAAAGGAATGATTTACCACAAGTCTGTAAAAGCATTTAATGACCAGGTAATGCTCTTTGAACATGATGAAAGGCCTTGCAGAAAACCTTTAAAAACTCTCTTCTTACATTAGTCTTCAGGCTTCCAAGATCCAGATTGTGATTGACGAGCTTCCAGTGACCATATTCACCAACCAAAGAGAAGTTGTGAAGGTGGTGTTATTGACAAACTGATAAAGTTGATTAAAGTTAGCAGTTAAGTTCTTTATTCAACGTGAAAAGTACCACTCAACAGCGGCTGGGATTTTGAAAGAAACAATGGAAAAAATCGACAAGAAGTGAAATAGGCTATGCGGATAATCAAGATTAATCACACTGTTAAAACAATTTAGAAAATGTATGACTGCTTTTCATTCAATAAATATGCATAGTTTCGTCTTAGTGTTTGAAAGGCAGAGTTTAAACATCTGGCTATGCTCCGCTTCTACTTGAAGTTGTAATGTAAAATGACAATAAGGGGTCTACATGAACATTCTATGAAGAGTGACGCAGGAACAGAACATTTCACTGCTTGCATCATGCTTCTTGCAATTTCAGCTTTATTACATTGAGGGGCAGAGAATAGACACTTTCGACTCGAATTCGAATTCATAAGCAGATTCGAACCTGATGCGGACTTTACGCCTTCAAGTTAGTCGACGAAGAGAATAAATGTGCAAGATAAGGAAGAGAGGGACCTATTCTGCGAATATGATATAACCCAGCCTATCACCTCTTTTTTGAAAAGGCTTCCGGTGAGGCTGCAAACCTTTCTCTGGTTTCCTT